TTAAACTGAAACCTATAATAAATTAAAAGGTAGACTAAATGCCTGCCGAGTCAATACCACTGAAAGTGAATGGAGAGTCAGAGTTAAGAGTGTACATTCACTTTTATAATACATAAGATAGATAAAGTCAAAAAAGAATTGGCTGGTTTGCAAAACTAAAATTGTAAAGAACAAAGGACATCCAGACAACTAGGGCTTACTTGGTTAGCTAGAAAGCTGAACACACACAGATCTCAAACAGTAAGAGAAATGGCAAGGTTGGCAGTATGGAGGACTCTCCTGAGGTGACTAAGAGGGCTGAAAGGAAGCTTGCACAGTCAAGCAGGGGTGTTTGCAACAAGAGAGAAGGACCTGCTTGCTCGTCCCACACTGAAGAGAGCTGGGGTGTGCTCTCCACTTCAGGAGAGAACCTTCCAGTCTTTACCTACATGATTCCTAATCTTGATCCCGAGTTGTATGTAGCCTGTTGACCCTGATCCTAAATTGTGCCTGTTACTTCCTTAAATAAACCACTGAAAACCTAACTGTAAACAAACAAACTAACAAAAACAGTAAGAGAAAAGAACAGCACAAACTTGAGCAATGATGTTCCTGGACAACTTCTAAATGAAATGAAGTGACTCAGTCCTGAAGCAAGGATCAACTTAAGATGTGATCTTCCCATCCATGGTTTCATGTAGCCTCAAAGGAGGGCCATTAATTGATAAAAAGGCACAGAACTACTCCACCAACCAAAGAAAAATATGAATCAATCCTGAAAATTATATGAAGGAAAACACATGGGATAGTTTCCATATAGAATCTTCTGGAAAGAAACAGATCAGAAACCTACTCAGTTTTAGAGTAAATTATAATGCCAAAAGAACCCACAAACCTAAGGTGTAGTGAATTATTTCACAGGTCTCTTCTGGTGGTGGTTATGTGCCATGGAGTCGGTTCCGATTCATAGCGACTCTATAAAGGGTTTCCGAGGCTGTAAATCTTTACAGAAGAAAGCTTCATCTTTCTCCTGCGGAACAGCTGGTAGTTTTGAACTGCTGACCTTGAGATTAGCAGCCCAATTCGTAACCACTTACATTAAGCGGATTGAAATTAGTCAATCACAAAAGAACAAATACTACATGAGACCACTGTTGGAAAAAAGCCTAGAGTTAAGTTCTAGTCAATGGAATGTGGTTAGAAAGGATATGTACTATTTTCAGGTAGCTTTAAAAACTCTCTTTTGGTTTTTTCCCTTCTGCAGCAATCCTGGAAGCAGCTTTACAGATGGTACAGCACACCACAGAAATATTTTAAGTCCCTAAATCATCACTGAGAAGAAAAACATCCCAATTAGAAACATCACTTAGGATTTGACAGATGTGAAAATAAACCATTGCCATCATTTCCAATATCCATGAATTCAAACAAATACTTACTGAGTACCTCATATGTACAAAGTATGTAGCAGTTTCTTTCCTATTTTACTCACTTCGTGGGTATCACAGAAGATTCAAAGGAGTCCTAGTGGCACAATGGCTAAGTGCTTAGATGCTAACAAAAAGATCATAGGTTTGAACCCACCAGAGACTCCCTTGAGAAAAAAATCTGGTGATCTGCTCCCATAAAGATTACAGCCTATATCTTTTGAATTTTGGTTTTCCTTGCATTATACTATAAAATAGACACTGGGGAGTGAGATAAAGGAATAGCCAGAAATATCACCATAGAAAGCTTGTAAGTCCGTCTTCTGCCTATAACTGATTGGAATACCTAAAATGGGGCTACAACGTGCCCAGTGAAGGAGGCTTCCTGCGGAGCCTCTGCAATACATAAGACTATAGGTGGAAGCCTGAACCACATCCAGATCTCCAGAGATGGGAAATTCCCACTTGAAAGGATGAGCAGATCAGCCTGGAGCAGCTAAAAGAACAGAAGATACTTCTTGAAAGAAAGACCTACAGGAAAAATATAAAACAACATATACAGACCAGCTGTTACTACAAGAACAAGCAACTTGCTTGCCCAGGAAACATCAAGGCAAGTGGTCGGGTACCCTCAGTGCAAACCCCCTTCCAAGACTAAGAGTTCCAAGACTAAGACTCAATGGGAATACATGCTCTGGTTGGTGACCAGGGGAAGTGAGGGGAAAACAGCAATGAAGCGGTGAGCTAAGCCCTACAATGTTCAATAGACTTCTGTGAACCTGGGTGAAGACCTGGTTGGCCAGCAGTGTGGCAAGACCTGGGGATTCTTGGGCCCAGAGTCAGTGACACTGCCACAGATGACTAGAGTGGAGAGTGAAGCATCCAGCTGATAGAAAGAGAGGGCATATGCATAAGAACACCCACACTTGCAGATAATACCCACTTGACCTGGCTTCAATGACTGGATGATCAGAGCTCAACCAGAATTAGAAAGAAGAGGGAAAAAAAAGTATTCTGATACAATTTTATGAACTTGACCTACACCTGTGGAAGCAGTAGCTCAAAAGAGGGAACAAATCCTTACAGCAAGAATCATTCCCACCCCCTCCACACACAGAGTAGAGGAATGGGCAACTTGGACATTGGCTACCGAAAATGGGGAGGGGAGGGGTGGGAGGCTACAAAGGCAAGAAGTAACTGGCTTACAAGTTTTCAAGAGGGACCCTAGATCCAGAGGGCCTGGAGGAAGGTAGAATCTCCAGTGAGTAGTATCCTATCTGTCTAAGCGGGGCTGATGCAAAGAAATGCATACGGGTCTCTTGTGATACAATAGTGAGTAACTGTTATCAAGACTGATTGTGAGGGTTGGAAATGTAAAGGTAGATGTTTTATAGCAAGGAGGGGAGTGATAAACTTTCTAGTCTAGGAGCGGAGGTCCCTAGGACCATCAAAGGAGAAGAGCGGAGAGCGGGACCCTATCCAGCGAAGCAGTGATGCCTGAGATGGAGGCAGAGACGATGACGTGGAGCGATGAAGCAGCTGGGGACTTTAGACACAGAGAGGGAGAGGGGCTGTGTGCTGACAACTGGGGGGCAGGATTGCAGGGTATACCCTTTGGTTGGTTGATGATGCATGGAGGGGATTGTAACCATGACAATGAGACGATATACGATAGAATGAATATAAAACTAATGTTCTCCCATGTGAACTATCACATAATCCACAATAAAACATTTAAGGAGAAAAAAAAAAGATTACAGCCTAGAAACTCTATGGGGCAGTTCTACCCTGCTATATAAGGTTGCCATGAATCGAAATTGATGGTAAATAACAACATAATATATCTTTACTTAAGAATCTTATATATACGATAACACATGGCAATAATATATGTAGTAAGATTGATATCTGAGAGTACAATTTTATAAGAGGGACAGCTATCAGTCAATTAATCAATAAAATCAATTACTCAGTTTCAAATTTACCATTTCTTAATATGATAAAAATATAGCAAACATCTAAAAGTTGATATAAATTGAGTACCAAAGTAGGCAAATTCACTTTAATCTGCCCTTAATTCTACTACAGGGTATGACCTTAAAAAGTTGTCTGAAATTTAACAAATTATTTCCCTCCCCTAGTCCTTAATTTCTTCAGATAATTAAGTAATGAAGCCAGACAATTTTCTCATCAAATGAGGTAAAACTATTCTTCATGGAGTCTTCCCTTTTATAAAAAGGGCTATAAAGTTAATTGTTCAAACTAAGGCCTGGAAAAGCAACTTTGAAAAAGGAAGCTTCTACTAAGTCTATAGTCTCTTATATTTTGAAAATCAAGGAAATATTAATTAACCATAATACCAATAAACTTGTGTTTTACAAGATACCTTCATTCTGATACTCAAAACATACTCAAGGATACAAAGGTTAATACTCAATTATTAATTGTATTACTTCAACATTAAAAGACACAATATACCTATTTTATCAGAAGTTTGCCATTAACTAGTTTTAAATGTTGCACTTCATAAAGTATAACATTGACAAACCTGAACAGAAGAAAAGGAAAAAAGAGTAAGTAGAATAATAATAAGAAAAGGAACCATAACAAATCTATCTGAATTCCCTTAGGAAAGAGGAATTGACAAATCTCTTTTTCAAAATCAAACATACACTTGAAAGATTTTCAAGGCTAGCTGAGCCCTAAAATATAAGCCCAAACATAATCTACTCCTTTATTCTCCCCCAGATGATAAGAATTACAAATGATCTATTTAAGAACACAGTTGTTTATAAAACCAAGAACCATTTTCCATAAACAACCAAAACTTCTATTTTTGTTGAATGCTACATAATCAGGTATGCTGAGAAATTTTAATAAGATCATTGTGACTTAAATTTCAAAAGAGAAAGTAGTACTGAAAGTCATGGCTATTACTGCTCTTTTACTCATAATGATGGAAGAAATTCAGCTGTTCCCTGCGACTTTGGTCATTTAGAGATAAACATTCTTTATAATTTAAATATTTCTTACTGTTTTTAAATGCCACCAAATCAATTCCAAACATACCACCCCTGTATAAGGGTTTCCAAGGAGTGGGTGGTGGATTTGAACCACCAACCTTGTGGTTAGCAGTCCAGTGCATATATTACATCGCCACACCAGGATTTCTTACACATCTGTTCATTTACAGTGTTAAGTAAAACTCCTTATATGATCATAATCCACAGAAGTTCTTAACAAGCCCTTTTTCATAGACACCTGCTGATTAAGTTATTAAGTAGGAGAACTTTAAGACTTCTTGGGCTTTAAATCACATCCAAAGTCGAGGAGAGTGTTTAAAAAAAAAAAAGAAAAGAAAGAAAGCCTTCAAATCCACAATATAACCCATCACAATCTAACAGTATTTACTCAACACCCACAGAGCAATTGTTGACTAGTCCCCATAAAGACAAGATCTTCCCTAAAATGATAAAACAAGCAATAATTAAGATATTTGGCTAAAAAAATTAAATTAAATTAAAAAAAAACAAACCCTATGTTGACTAAATAGGTACAAAACCAATGGCCAACCTGTAATAAACCAAAACTTACTTGTTTCATGGCAGTCTCTCCAATTTTGTCTGAATGTTTGCGGATGCTCTCCAGAAAGTCTTTGAGATCAGACATAGAAACATCCTTTATTTCCTCTCGAAGCTTAGGGATGTTGTCCACCATCACCTTGCAGAATCGATAATGGCTTACTTGAGGCAGATATGTATGCTCTAAATGTTCCAGAGTTTTCAGTGCAGGGTAGTGCCTACAAAAGGAATTGACCACCTTTAGCTCAACTCATCTTCCTTAGGGTCACAGATATGTTCCTCAGGCAAAAATTCTAGACTGAATTAGTTTTCAGTATTCATTAAGACAAATCTAATATTGAGTTTCAATGATAACATCAATAGAAACACCTCAAATTATTAAAGATTAATATATGTATACAAAGTCTAAGAGATTATAACAAAAGATGGCTTAATCCAAGAAGGTAGAAAACTTATAAAATCAATGACATTCTTTATACGAAGGAATAAAAGGAAATTTTAAATTATGATCTCAATATCAAAAAAATCATCCTAAAACTGAACTACCAAGACTAGATATCCTGAAATGGCGGAGTGAAATCTGGCAAACCTTCTTTCCCCAAAACAACTATAAATTAGACCAAAATATCAAAAAACAAAAATTGTATCAGTGCTCTGGAAATGAGCCAATTACAATAGAATTTAAAACAATTATTGCTAGGAACAAAGAAAAAACATTTCATCATAATAAACTCATTAACTGACAGAAAAGTTTCCCCAGCATAAGAGGAAGAATAAGCTAAGACTGATAAAGTTAAGTTTTTAACTTAACATAAGCTATGTATAAACAAAAATGCATTAAAAACAAAGAGGAAACAACAAACTGATAAAAATTACTTGCAACACACATTCAAAATGTTAATAAATTTAAGTTTATTATATAGGAATGAACAAAGAAAGTTCATAAGAACAAAAATGGCCAACATTTTTTAAAAGATGAAATTAATGTGTAGAAAGGTCAATCAAAATTACAATTTTGCTCCACTTGAAAGGATAAGCAAACCAGCCTGGAGCAGCTAGAAAAATAGAAGATACTTCTTGAAGGAAAGACCTACAGGAAAAACCAAAAACAATAACAGTAGTCCGACTGACTACTACAAGAACAAGCAAGTTGCTTGCCCAGGAGACATCAAGGTAAGTGGTGGGGTCCCCTCAGGGCAAACCACCTTCCAAGACTAAGACTCAAGGGGAATACACGAGCAGGCAGAGCAGGCATGTGGTCTGACTGGTGACCACGTTGGTCCCGATACAGGGAAATGGGGGACAAACAGCAATGAAGTTGTAAGCTAAGTCCGACCATGTTCAACAGACTTCTGTGAACCCAGGTTGAGACCTGGTTGGCCAGCAGTATGGCAAGACCTGGGGACTCCTGGGCCCAGAGACAGTGACATAGCCACAGAGTACTAGAGTGGGGAGTGAAGCGTCCAGCTGATAAGAAGAGAGGGCCTATGCATAAGAACACCCACACTTGTAGATAATACCCACTTGACCTGGCTTCAATGACTGGATGATCAGAGCTCAACTAGAAGAAGAAAGAAGAGGAAAAAGAAGAGTAATCTAATACAATTTTATGAACTTGACCTATACCTATGGATGCAGTAGCTCGAAAGAGGGAAAAAATCTTTACAGCAAGGATCATTTCCACCCCCTTGGTACACAGGGTAGACAGGGATGGGCAACTTACACACTGGCTACACAAAATGGGGGGGGGGGGGGGAGGCTACAAAGGCAAGAAGTGATTGGCTTAAAGAGGGAACCTAGATCCAGAGGGTGTGGAGGAAGGCAGACTCTCCACTGAGTAGTATCCAATCTGTCTAGGCCTAGTGATTAAAGGAAATGCAGATAGGTCTCTTGTGATGCAAGGGTGAATAATTGTTACCAGGACTGATTGTGAAGGTTGTAAATGTAAAAGTAGACATTTTGTAGCAAAAGGAGGGGAGTGTTTGACTTTACTGCCCAGTAGCGGAGGTCCCAGAGACCATCAAGGGAGAAGAGGGGAGTGCAGGACCCTACCCAGAGAAACAGTGACACCAGAGATGTAGGCAGAGATGATGGAGAATGTGGAGAGACTGAACAACTGGGGACTCTAGACCCAGGGAGGGAGAGGGGCTGGGTGCTGACAACCAGGGGGCAGGCTTACAGGGTGTACCCTTTGGTTGGTTGATGATGCATCGAGGGGATTGTAATCATAGCAATGCAATGATATAATACACGATAAGATGAATGTAAAGCTAATGTTCTCCCATGTAAACTAACACATAATTCACAAAAAATAAAAAAAATTTAAAAAACATACAATTTTGTCACTAACACTACCACAGAGCTCTTATATATTATTGTCAGGTGTCATCAAGTCGGAACCGACTCATAGTGACCCTGTGCATAGCAGAACGAAACAATGTCCGATCCTGGGCCAACCTCACTACCACCGGCCGCCACACTTGATGCCATCAATGATGCCACCTGGCTGATTCATCTCGTTGGGGGTCTTCCTCTTTTTCTCTGACCCTCC